CCCGCGGGCAGCCGCGGGGGCCGGAGCGCGCCCCGCGCACCTGTGCGCGTGCATGCGCCTGCCGGCGCACGTGAGCGCGCCTTGTTCCCCGCAGCAAAGCACTGAGCGACGAGGAGAACGCGCAGCTGTTCGGGAAGTGCAATAACCCCCACGGCCACGGGCACAACTACAAAGGTAAGGAGGTGGCGGTGCCCATGTTGTGCACCTACTTGCAGATGCACCGTTGCATGGAAAACCAGATCTCTGCAGCCCATGGGCCTGTTTTGGACTGTCTGTGTTCTACGTATCCTGAAGCCTCTGCTGCAGAGCCAGCAACTTTGCTGGAGAAGCAATCCCTCCTTTTAAGGCAGAGTTATACATACAGAGTGCTTATCTTTTCCTAGTAGAAGCATGCTCCCACTTTCAGAACTTCATGGAAAACTGCTCTAGAGCGGGCCAAGGAGCTTTCACTGCTGAGGAGAATCACAACCTAGCTCAGACCATTTTGGCTTTCTGGTTTTGTCCAGAAAACTCTGCTGATCAGGAGTCTCTTATCTGCAGTACAAAGGGCATAGAAAGTAGGTAGTTGAGAAGTCAGCTACTGTGTGGCAGGCTGTGTTTTTTCATGGTTACTGGGCATCAGACCTTTAAGAATGATTTCTTTTAGGAGCTGGGTGAGTAGTTTACACAGTGGATAACCATTCTGTAAAACCAGTCCCATTTCTAAGTGTGAGGATGCTCCCATTGGTCCAGATGAATTAGTAATGTATGGGCTGCCTGTCCTGATCACTTAGGTTTCCTGTGCCACACACATGAGTTGATATTTTCTTTTTTTTTTTCTTTCAGTTGTAGTCACCGTGCGTGGAGAGGTAAGTGTGATCAAGTTTTCTTTCTATTCCACAGAGCAACAGTATAGATGTCTCTGTATTTCACAATTCCTAAGTTCCAGCTCAGCTGCCAGGCTTCCCACGGTGTTCGAGGAAGCTGTCTACATATCACAGTAGAAGAAGGTTTTCCATAATTGCTTCTTTTCTGGAGATTACTGTCCTTTTGACCCTGCTTCTCGCAGAGGTTTGCTGGTGACTGTATTTAAGTCCCAGATTTGTAATCTGCCTTTGGGCACAGAGCTCTGTCTGCCAAGAACTTATTGCAGAAGAGGTAGTTTCTGGGCTCTGATCTGTGAGGCACTCTCTGGGTATTATGGAGCCAAATAGAGGCTTAGCAATTGTACTATCTGATTCTGCTGTTTTCTCAAGGTGTTTTATTGCAAGTACAAAAGAAACTTCTGTTCTCAGAGTTGCTTCTTACCTTCCATCCTGTCATTATCTTGTGTATCCTACAGACTGAGTTGTTTTGATAGTACTTAGGTTTTCATGTTTCCCAAACAAGTTTTGTAGGGTGTCCAGTTCATAGGATGTTTGAAGGATGGGGTTATATTCAGATCTGAATCAAAAATTTTAAAGCCATTTCCTTCCACTTTCTGGAATTCCCTGTCACTTGCAGAACCTGCTTTTGTTCGTAGCGCTGTTGCCTCCTGTGGATGGAGGATGCCCCGAGCTCAGGTTTTGGCTATTTCTTCCTGATTTTTCAACCAAGGGATTTAATGCCTGAGTTCCTACTTAGGGTCATGTTAAATCATTGACTGAAGACTGTTTTAGGAAGTTTTTTTTTCCTTGGTCTAGGGTTTTATGAGACAGCAGAGCCACCGGAGGAGTTTGTGTGCTCTGTCTAGCCCCCTGAGGACATCAGGGGGTAAGTTGGAAATCCATGTGGGAAGGTAAAGAGAGTTTTTTCTTGTAGATAGGATATTCCAAGTGCACAGATATTCATTCACTATCTGATTTGTGCTGGATCATGGCTACCTTTGTAGTAAGGACATGAAGGACATGTTGACACTACTGAGCTTCCCACCCCCCCTTTTTTTTTTTCCTGCAGATTGATCCAGTCTCAGGAATGGTTTTAAACCTGACAGACCTGAAAGAATATATGCAGGTAATAATGCTGTTTTCCTAGACATTCCCTGTGAGAAGTGGTTAGAGGTTAGCAAGACTTAGCATGTCAGACTTAAATGTAGTGCAGTGGTGTGAGGTAGCACGGTGCCTCCTGCTAGGAAATTAAGAGCCGTCCATCCACTCTTTATCTTTTTGTATCATATTGTTGCCTTCCTCCACACCTATATGCTTGGTAATGTGAACCCCAGTATACTGTCCCTGCTGGAACAACCTCGCTGATGCTGCTAACTGCTGTTGCTAATTGCAGCTAATATTGCTAACTGCTATTTTCTGCCTACAGGAGGCAATCATGGAGCCACTTGACCACAAAAACCTGGATAAGGATGTGCCCTACTTTGCTGAGGTTGTGAGGTGGGCCATAGGACCCCTTGTGATTGCAGGGCCAGGGAACAGTCTCTGCCATCAGTCCTACAGCTGAAGCAGCAGCCTCTAAAGCAGCTGTGTCCTTGTGCCCTGGCTGCCCTCACTGTGGCTGGCAGGGCATGGGCCTGCGGTGGTCTCCCGGCCTCTGGAAGGCACCGCTCACTCGCACCTAAGGAGCCCTTTGCAGACTTTTCTCAGGCCCTCATTCCAGCCGTGCTTGCATTGACTGTGTTGTCCTGTGAAAGTTGCCTGCGTGTTTCCCCTTGGCCTTTATCCCACCTGTTCTAGGTACGGCCTAATGGAAAGCCATTGCTGATTGTTTTCAGTGTGCTCCCATTTCTCTCCTAGCACCACCGAGAACGTTGCAGTGTTCATCTGGGAAAACCTCAAGAAACTCCTGCCCATGGGGACTCTTTATAAAGTTAAAGTGTATGAAACAGACCAGAACATTGTCGTGTACAAAGGAGAAGAAACAATCTCTGAGAAGTGAGCCTAAGCTCAACTGACCAGAAACTCCACTGCCTAATCATATCGGTGAATTACTTCAGCCCTGCGTACTTTGTCTCTTACATGTAGACATCGATTATGCATTTCATAAGGACAAGAGTGCTATTTTACAAGAATTATAGCAGCAGTCTGGCAGTTGGGGTTCACAGAATTTGTTGATTGCTCTGCTTTTCTTTCCAAGACATTCCTGTTTTGCAACCTCCAACCATCAAGCTGATGTAAAATTTGCAGTTGTACTGTGTTAAATAAAGCAGCTTTCTAGAGAGTTAGATTGTCTGGAAAAGTGTTTATCATCTCTGGCAATCAGAAAAGGCTTTGATTTTCTCTAATTAAATATTGAATTAACTTATGGATTTTTCATAGCTTGGGCTTTGTTTTGTTTCTTGAATGAGTAGAGAATGATAAGTTTGTAGACACAAGCAGCCAGGTCAAGTATGTTTTTCTGAAGGAAAAGTTAATGAGTTCTGTAGGAAGAAGAATAAACATTTTTCCTTTCTGGAGGCAGCAGTCAAGTGGTGCTTCTGTTGCCACGATCAGGGGCTATGTAGGGTTTTTATAATCAGAACTCCATGCCAAAAAGGTCTTGTAGACAGAAGGAGGACTTGGTATGAATCAGTCATTGGTGCTTCCAACTGCGTCCTTGGCAGGTCTAGTGATGCCAAACTGTTAGTTTAGTATACACTGTTACAAAGGGCTGAGAGCAGGAGATGTGTTTATATGAATACTAATCAAATAACGCTGAAGATTCCTGAAATTGTAGGCATACCATGAAAGCTAAGAGCAGGAAGAATGCATGTAAAACAAGTTAGGGAAGATCTGTACAACTGCCATTGCTGTTTTTAGGGTCACAAGATCAATTTCTCCACCGAGATAGTACTGTGTGCTATTCTCTTTATCACATGAGCGAAGTCCTGAAGGGGAGTCAGAGTAATTAGGAGATATGACCAGGAAGCTAGCAATATGCGTTATTAAAAAAGTGACATCCAGTGTGATAATTCTCCTGCTTTACAAGGAAATTATGTGTCTGAACAGAGATAGCAAACAGCAGCATTTTAAAAGGTTTAATGAATCTTGCCATATAATTAACTCCTTGATTTCACTACAGGCTGAGGAAAAAATACTGTTCTATATCTACCAATTGGGCATTTATAGTTCCAATAAATATATGTGAGTGCTTTCTCTCAAACGACACTGCTTTATATAGGCTTTGTGTTTTGTCCTACCTTGGTCCATCTTGGTTCAAATTTTCTGGGTAAGCTGCTAAAAGGGGTTTAAGAAACAGCTGGATTTGAGGGGTATTCCTCGCAGACTTTTTTTTTTTTTTTTTTTTTGGCAGAGCAAAACCTCTGCATGGGGGTTCCATTGTTCGTGTCTTTCCTCTTAGACACAATCTGCTGGAGAATAATTGCATGCAGATTGATTCTAGTGTCCCTGGTAGGGAGTTGCTCAGTACATCAAATGAAGGGAACACACTCCTTCCCTCCCATGTTACTTTACTCCAGAAATGGCACCAGTCTGCTTTTTGCAGTATGAGCTGGCCAAGGAGTTTCTCAAGCTTCCCTGGAAAACTCTTTTGCAGCTCCTGCTAGGCTGTAATTCGTCAGGGTGGTGTGTCATGCTGGTTTGCTGCAATAAATGACAGAGAGCAGGCTGGGTGCTTATGAGTCACAACACGTTTGATGTCATTAGGGCTTCACAGAGACTGAAACTTATCCTGCTTTATCTTTATCAGAAGTCTAATTCAGCTGTTAGCATTGTTGACAAAAAACAAACAAAGGGGTACATCTGTGGAGCATTGCTCAGTGGTACTGCTAGCAAAAGATAGGCGTTGAGCCATACAGGCTAGCACAAATTCCTTTTCTTTGCCTCCACTGATGAAGCCCTGCAATAGCAGGGGCATTTCTCTTCCTAGCTCTATTGCACGTTGCAGATGTACTTGGAGCCTTTATTCCAAGCAGTCCAGTTTCAACGGCAGCAGGATCAGAATGTGCTGTCTGTGCTGTGCTTCGCAGGGACGGAGTTGGAAGGCTCAGCAGGGCTCAGTCCTTCCTGTCATGTGGAAGGGGAAATAAACAGGTTCTTTAGAAGAGTGGTAGCGTCAGCGCAGAGACTGAGTGAATGGGGAGCCTGTGCGAGAAGCTGGCCACCTTGGTGTCTGCTGCTGCATTTGCACTCGCGCTGTACTTCAGCTAATCTGACCCTTTGGTACTGCCAGCTAGAAGCAAAGCAGAGCCTGAGACCTGCCCGTTTTCAAAGCAAAGCTGTTCAGCAACAGCCCGCCTTTTGTATTCATTGTTCCTAGGGGACATTTTCCCATTTGGCCTCGCTGCAAGGAGAAAAAGTCCTTTCTGTCCTGGTCTTGGAACACAGTGCCCGCAGGAGGACTCTGGGTTCAGTCGCAGCTTTCTGCAGTGTGGGGAGTGGGAATTGATTGTTTTCCCATGACGTCTGAGATTATGAAACAGGGCAGAGTGTAGGGATGCCATTACAAAAGGAGCAGCAAAGTGAAAACCAGCGGTTTTTCTGAGCCAAGTTCTGGAGCCATGTCTCACACACCACTCCCTAGGCTGTTATTTATAGTTCATTGTAGTCCCAACAATGACCGAGTTAATAAACAATCCAAGCATTGTTGCTGATGAGGAGCTACGTGTGGGACACGGAGCCCAAGCCAGGACCTGCTCCTCCAGTATTAGACGACCGGCAGTCCTGAGTTGCGGCTTGCTGCTGGAGCACGGCTCCTCACTGCCTATGCCCTGTGGCAGGGATGCAGCGAACCTTTCAGAGGACCTCGGCCCCGCTGGCTGCCCAGGACTGGCAGGGCCCTGGCAGGGAACAAGAGGTGAACTGAGGCTATGGGCTGCCCCTGGCCTTGTCCTGAGCAGGGGCAGGCCAGTGCGTGGGAATGGAGCTGGGGGCTCTGGAGGAGGAGGTCATGCTGCCAGTAAGAGGTGCTGAGGAACTGCAGGAGATGGACTATTCCTGCCTCTGCCCAGAGCCTCAGCTCGAACCGGTGGGCTGACTTGCCTGCAAACATTTTCCTGTCTAGATGTCCACTGCTCGTTGTTTCCTGGGCTCCCTGTCTAGCATGTGGGTCTGTAGGGACACAGGTTAGAAGTCTTGAAGGAATCTTGGGGCCTTCAAAGCCATTTCCCTCCTCCTGTGGGCAGTCATCTAATGCAGCAAACTGTGCTTCAAAGCTCACGAGGCTGTTTGCTCCCTCTGACTCTTCTTAGCAGCAGGTGTTTGTTTCCCTCTGTGTGCAATGGGGAGAGTGATCTCACATGCAGGAGCACAACGTGCGGCTCTGGGGAAAACGGTGCTAGAGGAAAGAGCAAGTAAGGAGGAGAAGGTGCATTTTGAGCTCACTTCCAGTGAGCGTGATCTGTCCAGGTATAATAAGTGAGGCCAGGGCTTGGGGGAAAGAGGGTGTGATCTTTTCACTTACGCACAAGGGAAGGGGATTTGTGTTTAAGAAGGCTGTGGTTCTGGTACTTCCTGGTGTTTGCATGCTTTGCCTTGCAGCTTTACTGTTCATTTAACAGGGGTGGGTGTGGATGTCCATATGTACAGGAGAGTCATTAGGATGGGAGGGAAAGCAAACTTGTACTGTACTGAGAATATGATTTGTTTATTCAGATGCTCAGTTGGAAAACCCAGTGGCCTCTCTGAAAGTCATTTTAAATGTCTGAGAATGTGGCAAGGGACAAAGCGATGCTGACCCAATAGAAGTCATCTCTGAGCCAAGAGATGGCTCTTCGTAGATGTGCAGATAGAACATGACTCTCTCCTACTGTCCATATCCATCTGCAATAGACTGCTAAGAGAGTAAACACTGCTGTTATTTCCACTGCAAAGGTACATGTACAGCCAACAGGAGACCTAAGGCTAAAGCTACCTTATGTTGTGCAGCAGCGAGGTTTGGAGGTCATGTAATTTAAGGATTTTTTTTTTTCTGATCAGCACTTTATCTAAATTTAGAATCATCAACAAGATGTTAAATCTGTAGTCCAAGAAGTCGGGGCCTATTCTGGTTTCTGCAAGCCACGGTGGACTATCACAACAGCTATTAAACTGCAGTCACTACAGGAAGCCAATGGGAAGGTTGGGCAAGTTTTTAATGGAACTTTATTGCTCACAGTAGTCATTTTGTGTGGTCACGCTGTTAATCATTAACAAATGGTTTAAAACTAAAAATTCTCAGTAACAGATTCCTACTCCTGGTTAACTCAGGGTTTCATGTCTCCCTAAAAATTAGGCTTTGGGCTCATCTCATCTGTCCCGAGAGGCTCTGCTCTGCCAGTGCGGACAGTGAAGTCCTCACCAGGTGCCTGAACTTTGACTCTGTAGAGTAAGGTGCCCCTGTGCCGTGCAGGGAGTGAGGTGCAAAGGCAGAAGTGTTTGCCTGTGTTTGTTCTGGGCCCTCGAGCAGACTCTCAGTCAATATTTCCTGCCTTCTGTGGATTCTTTCTGAGATGGACCAGCATCTTCCCCCAGCGTCACAGGGTCTGCAGGGGTTGATTGTTGTCCCCAGGTTTTGGCTCCTGGGTGGCCTAGAGGCTGCAGAAGGGAGCCCAGCATCCAGCAGCCAGGCTGGCTGCCCCCATGGGTCCTGGCCACTATGGGGACCTCCTAGGCCGGAGCAGTGCACCTCACGCCATATTTTCTAGGGAAAAGGGCTAAATCCGATAACTCACTTGTCACTTGTGTGTGTCTGCACAGCTCTGGTGCCCAGATGGGCTCTGCCACACGTTCCTGCTGCAGCCACAACTTCTGTGCAAAACTTGACATCCCAATACAGATTTTCTGGTCAAGCGGTTCTGTGTTTGCTAGCAGGGTCAAGGAACGAAGACACCAGCATGTGTCCTGCTGGCAGGGCCAGGTAATGTTGCAGTCTCTCGGGACATTACCTCCAACTCAAAGGAGGGCCTTGCTTTGCTCATGCATTAGGACCAGCAAACTGAAGCAATGCTGGCTCTCTTTTTGGTGTCATTCACAGCACACCAAGAGACACCAG